AAAAACCAAGAACCGCAATTTCCTAACTTCACAATCAATAACAAATTAAGATCATATATATGCATCAAATGACCCAAGTAGCTAGAAAGCTAATTGAGTGAATTAAGAGAATTACAAAATGGCTCTGCTGAAAAGACACATAAGACATTGAAAGAAATAAAACAGAAAGTGAAACTACTCATGTCTCACTTGTTAAACTAAAATAACCATCAACAATTTTACCATGCTTACTACTGCAAGGAACAAGAAAGCCTTGTCACATATATTTGCCATACACAGATGGTGACTACAAAGGAAAGCATCCATTAAAACCATGATATAGAGAAGGAAAATGCATGATCATGAAGGAATCAAATATGACAATTACCACAAATGTTCCCAAACGCTCCAAATGTTCACCTAAACCTATAAACAAAACCATGATCACTACTCATGCTTAAAACATACAAATAAAATCCATTGATATGAAGTGATCAGAACTTCCGTTAAGAACTGCCAAACCTTAAGGTGCCATATGATCCACCAACCGATGAATATTGGAGCAGTTCCTGTATCAATAATTAGCATGTGTGTGGTCATGCTGGCTGAAACTTTTAGGAGAAAAGATTGATAAAATAAAAATAGGTAGACCAAATTAGAAGCAAATGAAAGGCATACTCAACCAACAAGAAGAATGGCACACATTTGCTTCTAATTTGAAAGGCATACTCAACCAACAAGAAGAATGCCTTTCATTTGCCTATGTTTATGAAACTTTTAGGAGAAAAGATTGATAAAATAAGGAGAATGTGTGCACTATTCATACTCCTTATTTTATCAATCTTCTAATTTGAAAGGCATACTCAACCAACGAGAAGAATGATCCACCATCTTTGGTTGAGTATGCCTTATAAGATATGAAAGAAACAAGAAAGGAGTACTTATAAATAACRAAGATGGCGGAGTACAAGATATAAAGTGCAAAGGGTCAGATTTTGCATTTAATAGTATAAAAGACAACTAATTGAAGGGTAAAATAGAAATGTAGAACAATGGCAATGAAGAGGATTTTCCATATCTTGGGTAGTTACTATTAAAAATCATCAGGGATTTGCCAATACCCCTTATCCATTAACAGCCCTCAAGCCATAATGCTTCCTCCAGCCTCTMGTTGAACCTTGAAAACATTGCAGCCAACTGCATCAGATGCAACTACATAAATAAAGATAAACAATACAATTGTGTCATTATAAAATTCAAGGAAGAATAAACAAGTTTATAGTAGTTAATTTCACCAACAKTACCTCAAAAACCCTGATAAAAAACAATCAAATTCAAAAAGAAGTATACATTTTGAAAAAGGAGAGAGAATGAAACCTGGAGGTGAGTGGCGATGAGAAAGACAAGTGGGGAAAGAGGCGACAGCGTTTGATGGCAGTGGTGGGCGGAAGAGATCGATGGTTGGTGGTGAACACAGGCAACGATGACAGTGACCACTTCTATTCTGCATCAAGAACCTAAACACATTCGTTTCAAAACAATCTTGGATATCTTTGCGAAATATGGGTGCATCAAGAACCCTAACACCTATTTTGCATCAAGACCCTTAACGCCTTTGTTTCTGATATGTTGCCGATGGTGCTTCATTGAAGAGGACGAAGATGAGGGGGAGAGAGATATGGCCTCCGACAAAGATGATCGTGGGTTCGGTTTCTGTACTGTATTTATAGATATCTACCTATGTTTATAATAGTGAGTAAACTACAAATTTGGTCCTTGTAGTTTGTTGGGAATAACACTTTTAATCTCTACATTTTTAAAATTACAAAATGACCATTATGGTTTGTAAAAGCGTCCGAAACCATAAGAAATTGTTAAATAAAAAATATTTTGGTCTTTTTCTAAATTTCATCACATTGTTCTTTAAAAAATAAATATAACTTAAATACATGGACCAAAAAACATATATATATATATATATACACACGTCTCCGCTTTATAATTCAAAATCCTTCATTTTCTATTACATCAACATAATTTAGGTCTCATATATGTTGCTGTAGAATAAATCCTGGCAATCTRCAATTTTGAGAACTCATGTGATAGTTATGGAGAACCCATCTTGGAGCATGTTGCAAATTTCTAGAACCCATCTTGTAGCTTTTGACAGTTATGGAGTCTTCCGATGAATTCTTCGTCATCCACTTCACTTCTGCTGGCCAAACACTACCAAAGAAATGACTTTTATCCACAAAATGATTAAGGAAAATTTTCATAGGTAATCACCAAATGATCACCTAGAAAAATATTAATGGTTCGGTGGAATTCGAAAAAAAAATGCCAAGGGATCACCCAAAAATATATGTCGGTAATCTATCACTGATTTAAATTATCCACGAACTTTTGTAATGTTTGTGAGGACTCATTCTTTAATGCAGATTTCTTAAGAAAAAATCTATAGGAAAACCAATGCCAATCATTTATCTTCTTTGTTCCCTCCCCATCTTTGTCCACCTCTTCATCTTCATCTCCATATCCAAACCTAGAACAACCCCCCCACCCTAACGCACCCCTTTCCTTTCGATTTGCACTCCAAAGTAGATCGAACCCAAAGTTAACGACTCTTTTGAGGTAGTCAAAGGGACCAAAAAATGCATAATAATTAAAGAAACGATGAAAAAGACTAAATTCTCCCTGAATTAACGACTCTTTTGACGATAGTTAGTCAAAGGGACCAAAAACGCTTAAAGTGGTAACCATAGTTACTAAACATGTAATCGTTTTTAATTAGGACACAATTTGATAACAAATGGCAACTACAAAGACAAAAAATATAACTTGGGATGTTTGGTTGGAGGTGTTAGGCAACAATTAACGAGAATGATAATAAAATAAAGTTGTTTGGTTTTATTTAATAAAATGGTTCATTCTCTCATATGCCTATATTTTCATTCCAGTTAAACTGGAGGAATGAAAAATCATTTCTATTTTCATTATCTGTCATTTTCATTTTCATTCTTCAGCCTGAACCMAACAACCCCTTACTCATAAATATATATTGAAAATATGGCATGGCGGAAGAGAAAAAATAGGTATCATTTGGGTTTGTTCATCAAAAGTTCAAAAAAAAAATTAAAAAAATAAAACTAATTTCCTTATTTTGAAGAAGTAAGTTTTTGAACTTTTTTTAAATGAAAAGATCATTAAATTTTATTTTTTTGAATGATCAAGTGACTGAACATTTTCTTTTAACAAATAAATTATAGAACTTCCGGAGATTAGTTAATTACACCATGTTTATCCAAAAAAAAAAAACTACCTATAACCGGCTAAAAAAAATCAATATCTAAGTCAAATATAAAATTTAACGGTTTTCACATCTTTCACATTCTAATTTACAGATGTGACACCTATGTATTATTACTTACGTTGTTGTATATATGATGATTGAAACACTGTTCCAGTTTATTTGATAAAAACATTAATTATTTTCATTAATTACTATTTACATGATACTCATGACAACCGTTATGCATACAAAAACATGCATGACAATCACTACACATATTATTATTTACATAACACTCATTAYGTATAWCATTTAGAAAAAAACCTTAACATTAAATTGTTAAAGAATTTAATGAAAAMACTTATAATAACCTATCTATATATAAATTAAATACCTATGACAATTGAATACAACTAAATAACAATTATGATTTACTATCAGTGTAACTTTTATTTACCTTATAATTGTATTTCACTTTTTCCCATGAACTCCTAATAACTCTAGATGGCCGTTCAAGTTTAACAGAAGACAACTCTCGTTAATCATGGTTGGGTGCAAGGTTTCTATTTTACACTTCCAAGTTCTTTTATATATATATAATATAAGGGCTGGTTCAAATGTTAACCAAGATTATTGTGTTAACTTTGTTAACCAATCTTGGTCATTGATTCTTACAATAAACGGTTGTGATTAATCATGATAATAAATTAATTTTTTAAATTTACATTTCAAAAAACATATGTGAACAAAGGGGAAAAGAGTATTTAGGTAATTTACTTTTTTATGTAACTCTCGTRTCATTAATTGGGAGTTACAAAATCAAAAAATCACATTATTTTTGTTAACGTAAGAACCGTATGAACAAACACACACACACACACACACACACACATATATATATATATATATATATATATGAACCATTGTGTAAAATACGAACAAAAATTGACATATATATGAATTTGGACTGCACAACATTTATGAACAATATGAACATAATAAGAATAGTTGTTACACAAAAGAAAATAAATAAAAAAACATGTATGAACACAATATGAACAGCTCGTGAATAATAGTTCGTTCATTATGAACACATTCAGAAGCGAGCCAGTGTTGAGATGTGCAACTAGTGTACATATGAACACAATATGAACACTTCTGAACAATAGTATCGTAAAAAWATCGTACAAATAGTATGAACACAGTATGAACGAGTGATGAACATGAACAAGCCACACAGTGAAATAATATCGTAKAAATAGTATGAACACATAACATATATGCTATGAACATGTGGTGCAATTAAAGAAGAAARCTATYAATACAAGATGAATTAYAAAAAATACAACACATCGTAATGAACATARTTTTGATTAAAACAAATCTAATAAAAATATTAATCTATTACCAAGACATTCGCTTTGGTTAATTTATTCATTTTCCGAACTCGAACTCCGATTGTCATCATAAACCATTTTAATCTTCTCACTGTTGTCGATTTCTTTTCCATTGCGTTTATCCAAATATATATATGATTCAACAATCCATTCAACTCGTGAATGGTTTGGTTAGTTTTTGACAATTGGGTGGTTTTTCTAAACACCCTACTATTTGTATGTTAATAGTACATAAAATTAAAATATGGTGTAATTATTCATGAAAATGATATTTATTTATAAAAAAATGTGAAAATGGATAGGTAAATAAAAAATTGTAGATAAAGAAAATGTTGGTAATTTTAGTGAAATCATTGGTTCATTTTAAGTAATTAGATTCACACGATAAATGAGGTTGGTAGTTAAACCATATCACAAGCTATGATGTGTTGAATGTACACTCGTATAAGCTACCTAAAATCTAAGATTTGTTGGATGACGACATGGTGCCATATGGCAAGTGTCAAGGGTGTCATAGGGACAACACTTTTGAGTCAAGTTCAGAAGCTCTGAGTCTTGCTCAAAAGTTTTTGGTAACGTAATGTTGTTGGCTCATAGCTTCTTTCGATTCTCAAGCGCTTCGGACTAAGGAGTCAAAGTTTCTCATTCTAGAGGGATTTTGACTCTCAAGTGTTCAGTTTTTTTTATTTGTGTGTAGTTTTGGTAATCACCACTAATTATCCCAACAATAATTTCCATTTTACGGGGAGATATTATTGACATTAATTTAAAAACTGTTATGATTTTCTAAGTTTAAAAGAAATTGAACTTTGTTAACACCTTTACTAAAAATTTGAGCTTATTCTCTAGTCGTTTTCGTAAAACTCAAACGGATTAAAATCAA